TGAGCGGCCAGCAGCCATAGTAAGCGGCCGTCCAGAAGCCGGCGACTGATTTGCCTCCCCCGGGAAGAGTGCAATGATGGTGCCAACTTGGGCCAGTGAAGCAACGTCCTCCACAACTAGACTGAAGAACCATAGGACAGCAACTTCTCTGTTCCCCTTCCCCCAATTCCCCAATAAAAATCTCCTTTAAAAAAAGGTGAATTTTATGGTATATGAATTATATTCCTAAAACTATTTGAAACCTAACTAGAGCATGTGTTAATATACCCTTCATTTTGATGATTTAGGCAATCTATAGTAATTCTGGAAGTCTTCAAACTTTAAATAGATTTTTTAAATTACCCTTTTTGGAATGAAGTTACAATTATTGATATAAGAGAGGGGATATTTCTTTTCTAACTTATTTTATTTACTTAGACCATGTAAAAGTCTCTGTGTAAATATATTTTTAAGAAATGTAACTTTCTGTAATACTGAAATTAAAATGTGGTATTAATATTTAAGATACAAGAAGATAGAACCTGCCAGACTGTGGTTTTTCTATCTTGTACTGAAGCATTGTAGCATTGTTGTTACAGGAGAACCCATTCCCCCTCGGACCTTGACTGAAGCTGGCACAATGGCACTTTGCTACAGTGCTGCCTGGGATGCCCGAATTATCACCAGTGCCTGGTGGGTGTACCATCATCAGGTAATAAGGGCTGTGGTCCTTCTTAACTTATTAAGAGCTACTGTGTACCACATTTTGAGGGTGTAGAATAGAAGTGATCAAAGCTAAGTACCTACCTTGATGAAGCTGACATTTTGGTGGTGGAGAAACATACAGGTAGCAATTGCTATAAAGATTTTTTTAAAGCAGAGTAAGGGGATAGAGAGTGATAGGGGCCACCATTTTGAATAAAGTATTGGGGAAAGCCTTTCTGTGAAGTAAGATTTGAACAGCAGAGACCTAAATGAAGAGAGAATGATCTGTGCAATTATACGGGATAAAGAACGTTCCAATTATGACTGACATAGTGACCTAAAAGGCCTTTCTCCTATTGGTCTCTGTTGGAATTTTCTGAATTCTCATTGGCCCTTCCAGAAAAGTCAGTATATCCAGTGGTTTTGTATTCACTTGGTTTAGTAATTGTCCTCCTTTGTGGTTAAATTTATTTTATTTGATGATGCTTTATCCCATATTTGACTTCACACTGCTATTGATACCACATTTTCAAGAATTATAATGAGATTTGACTCTGGGTGTTGAACACACAATGTAGTATATAGATGATGTATTATAGAATTGTACGCTTGAAACCTATAAAGTTTCATTAACCAGTGTCACCCCAATAAATTTAATTAAAAAAAAGAAATAGAGATGGTAGAGTGTGCACACATTAGAAATGAGGAGTTATATTGCAGATATTAATAAATTTAACTCCATAAGAAAATATTTGTGAGCAATTTAACTTAAAATACTAAGAGGAGAAACCTGTTCAAAGTTGCACAGGGCATAAATATAGCTGTATTTAAGAAAGAATTGAGGGCCAGCCGAGTGGCGCGATGGTTAAGAACTGGCTTGGGACGCCAGAGAGCCTTGGTTCAGATCCCCCACATATGAGGACCAGTGATACTGCCCTCTACAGCTAAGATGCTGAACAACAGCTCAACCTGGAGCTGGGCTGCCGTGAGTCGCTGGTGATGGCGTAGGCTGCAGCCCCTGTGGC